TTCTTTATTTATTATTTTAAGTTTCTTTTACTTTCCAATAATGTCCAATTTATTTGCAATAAAAAAGTGGCAGCGGCTGCTTTACCAATTCCCCATGCAGCTTCCGCATAATGGGCGAAAAATACAAGAAATTGTAATAAAAAACACAATCTCTGACAAACCGACAAGCGTTTTTAAGTGTAAAAGCGAGAAAAAAAGGCTTGAAAATCCATTTCATTTTTTTTTTTAATTTCCTTCAACGAATCCAGGCTTAATACCAATGGCGTATTGGTAGACGGACAGACATGCATGACATACATTAATAATAAATAAAATATGATAGAAAAAAATATTATTACTTAAATATAAAACAATTCAAAATGCAATAATAAATATAGGAACAATAAAGGAGTTAAGTCATGTGAAAGGTGTTTTTAAATTTACAACAAAAGGAGAGTACTTTTTTATTAATTTGTTCCAATAAAACTGAAGTAGAACAGAACTAGAACTGAACTAGAACTGAACTAGAACTGAACTAGAACTGAACTAGAACTGAACTAGAACTGAACTAGAACTGAACTAGAACTGAACTAGAACTGAACTAGAACTGAACTAGAACTGAACTAGAACTGAACTAGAACTGAACTAGAACTGAACTAGAACTGAACTAGAACTGAACTAGAACTGAACTAGAACTGAACTAGAACTGAACTAGAACTGAACTAGAACTGAACTAGAACTGAACTAGAACTCAACTAGAACTGAACTAGAACTGAACTAGAACTGAACTAGAACTGAACTAGAACTGAACTAGAACTGAACTAACTGAACTGAACTGAACTAGAACTGAACTAGAACTGAACTAGAACTGAACTAGAACTGAACTAGAACTGAACTAGAACTGAACTAGAACTGAACTAGAACTGAACTAGAACTGAACTAGAACTGAACTAGAACTGAACTAGAACTGAACTAGAACTGAACTAGAACTAGAACCGAACTAGAACTGAACTTGAAGCCTGAACTAGAACTGAACTAGAACTGAACTGAACTAGAACCGAACTAGAACTAACTTAGAACTGAACTAGAACTGAACTAGAATCTGAACTAGAACTGAACTAGAACTAGAACTGAACTAGAACTGAACTAGAACTGAACTAGAACTGAACTAGAACTAGAACTAGAACTGAACTAGAACTGAACTAGAACTGAACTAGAACTGAACTAGAACTTGAACTAGAACTGAACTAGAACTGAACTAGAACTGAACTAGAACAGAACTAGAATTGAACAGAACTAGAACAGAACTAGAACGAACTAGAACAGAACAGAACTAGAACAGAACTAGAACTAGAACTAGAACAGAACTAGAACAGAACTAGAACAGAACTAGAACAGAACTAGAACAGAACTAGAACAGAACTAGAACAGAACTAGAACAGAACTAGAACAGAACTAGAACAGAACCAGAACTGAACTAGTACTGAACTAGAACTGAACTAGAACTGAACTAGAACTGAACTAGAACTGAACTAGAACTGAACTAGAACTGAACTAGAACTGAACTAGAACTAGAACTGAACTAGAACTGAACTAGAACTAGAACTAGAACTGAACTAGAACTGAACTAGAACTAGAACTGAACTAGAACTGAACTAGAACTGAACTAGAACTGAACTAGAACTGAACTAGAACTGAACTAGAACTGAACTAGAACTGAACTAGAACTGAACTAGAACTGAACTAGAACTGAATTTGAACTGAACTAGAACAGAACTAGAACACAACTAGAACAAAACTAGAACAGACTTAGAATAGAACTAGAACAGAACTAGAACCCAAAGATTCAGATCTTTGTGGTAACAGGTTCTAGTTAAACCGTTCAGCCATTGCGATGGCAACGTATTTCAATTTATCGCTCTGATACTGTTCTCGTTTTCGTAATAAGGATCAGGATATACAATGATCCTTTGTCACATAATAGCAATTCAGAAAAGAAGTCTCTAAAATATATTGAAATGGAGAACAAGTTATTTTTATATTAATATATATTAATGAGATCACTGATGATCATGCTCATATTAACTCCCAGTTTGAATTAAAATCTCAAATTCCAACTTAAGTAGCTTATGCAGTTCTCTCTCTGAAATGTAAAAAAGGCACCATTTGTTTACAGTTTAATTCCTTTAAACTTCTGCCTCTTAATATAATGCAACAGCAACCGTTTATAGACGGCGAAAAAAAAGTTAACCAAAACAACTACAAACAATTTGCCGTTAAATCTTTTGCAACAAAAGCGTTAAACGCATCAACACACACGCTCTTCTAATGTTGTTTGTCCGTCCGTCTGTTTGGCTACATGCTGTATGTTTGGATGGTTATTATTGTTGTTCCTATTGTTATTTGATTGTTGTACATGTTGGCAACGCCTTAAGTTCAACATTTCAGCAGCAATTTAATTCAAAATGCGAATTGTAACAACAACAATAACAACAATAAACGGCAACAACGAAATAAAAAAAATACGATCAACAAACCAGAACTGATGTGCAACAAACAGTTTTGTTACGATCACTATTTTTTTCTATCTATCTATTTTTTTGTTGTTGATAGTTGATGGTGGTGATCTACATCATCATGATCATGATGTTATTGTGTGATAATGATGTTGATGATGATTATTGTGTGTATCCGTTTAAAAATAAACAACAACTGAAAAAACGCCATAACTTGGCTAGAAAAGTGACGGAATCTTTGGAATAAAAAACAATGGCAACAGGTTTGTTGTTGTTGTTGGTGTAATGGCAAAACGTTTGATGTGTACCCACAAACCTACACAACGACAAATAAGGATTTTTAAATCAGACATAATTTTAAATAGTTAATTTAACATTATCACAGTGCGGAGATTTACTTTGTAAAAGAAAAATTGTTGGATTCAAAGAACATGGAACATGTTTACACAGAAAGAAATTTTCAAGAAAAATTATATTAGACTACACTGGACTGAGGACTTCAATGTCCAATAGATTACTCCATAGACTACTATATTACGAGAACTGAACAAGAACTGGAAAAACTAGAAGGAAACTGAACTAGAACTGAACTAGACTGAACTAGAACTGAACTAGAACTGAACTAGAACTGACTAGAACTGAACTAGAACTGAACTAGACTGACTAGAACTGAACTAGACTGAACTAGAACTGAACCTAAAGAACTGAACTAAAATGAACTAGAACTGAACTAGAACTGAACTAGAACTGAACTAGAACTGAACTAGAACTGAACTAGAACTGAACTAGAACTAGAACTGAACTAGAACTGAACTAGAACTGAACTAGAACTGAACTAGAACTGAACTAGAACTGAACTAGAACTGAACTAGAACTGAACTAGAACTGAACTAGAACTGAACTAGAACTGAACTAGAACTGAACTAGAACTGAACTAGAACTGAACTAGAACTGAACTAGAACTGAACTAGAACTGAACTAGAACTGAACTAGAACTGAACTAGAACTGAACTGAACTAGAACTGAACTAGAACTAGAACTGAACTAGAACTGAACTAGAACTGAACTAGAACTGAACTAGAACTGAACTAGAACTGAACTAGAACTGAACTAGAACTGAACTAGAACTGAACTAGAACTGAACTAGAACTGAACTAGAACTGAACTAGAACTAGAACTGAACTAGAACTGAACTAGAACTGAACTAGAACTGAACTAGAACTGAACTAGAACTGAACTAGAACTGAACTAGAACTGAACTAGAACTGAACTAATAAACCTGAACTAGAACTGAACTAGAACTGACTAGAACTGAACTAGAACTGAACTAGAACTGAACTAGAACTGAACTAGAACTGACTAGAACTGAACTAGAACTGAACTAGAACTGAACTCGAACTGAACTAAACTTGACGTAACTAGAACTGAACTAGAACTGAACTAGAACTGAACTAGAACTGAACTAGAACATGAACTAGAACTGAAACTAGTAACTGAACTAGAACTGAACTCGAACTGACTAGAACTAGAACTAGAACTTGAACTAGAACTGAACTAGAACTGAACTAGAACTGAACTAGAACTGAACTAGAACTGAACTAGAACTGAACTAGAACTGAACTAGAACTGAACTAGAACTGAACTAGAACTGAACTAGAACTGAACTAGAACTGAACTAGAACTGAACTAGAACTGACTAGAACTGAACTAGAACTGAACTAGAACTGAACTAGAACGAAACTAAGAACGAACTAGAACTGAACTAGAACTGAACTAGAACTGAACTAGAACTGAACTAGAACTGAACTAGAACTGAACTAGACTGAACTAGAACTGAACTAGAACTGAACTAGAACTGAACTAGAACTGAACTAGAACTGAACTAGAACTGAACTAGAATGAACTAGAACTGAACTAGAAACTGAACTAGAACTGAACTAGAACTGAACTAAACTGAACTAGAACTGAACTAGAACTGAACTAGAACTGAACTAGAACTGAACTAGAAAACTAGAACTGAACTAGAACTGAACTAGAACTGAACTAGAACTGAACTAGAACTGAACTAGAACTGTACTAATCTCTAACTGAAATCGAACGGGACTATCGAATCGAACTATTACTTAAACCGTTAGTTTAATTAAACTATAGTAATCATTTTGTTTACATTTGTTAAAATTTTAAACCTCTACATTTACTTAGAATTAGTCAACTAAAACCTTTATATTTTAATATTTAATTTTTTATTTTCTTAACATAATCCCTAACCTATTCTAGGAAGAGCTGGAAATATGGAGAACTGTGCAAGTAGGTTAATAAAACACCTATTAAACCTATTTTGCTGCATGCTTTTCTTTATATTTTTACACTGAATTTTTACATAAGAATAGTTTAACTTTATAGTACTTACTCCGATAATTATTATTATGCCTTCTTAATACCATAGTAAATAAAACATAATTTCATTTAATAATCATACACAACCCTCTTCTTTCTATATTCTAGGCACGTTTTTGGGTCCAAGTCATCGATGAGTTAAGACGTGGGGTACGTTTAAAGAAGGCCAACTATGAAAGGGCTCCCACTGAATACGAATTAACACCTTACGAAATACTCATGGAGGATATACGATCTAGGTATGTACATATACTTTTATAAAGTTTTAAATATTTTTCTTAATTTGTAAAAAAATTGTCTGTCTTCTTTTTCAGAAAATATCAATTGCGCAAAGTGATGGTTAATGGTGATATACCACCGCGAGTTAAAAAGGATGCTCATGCTTTAATCTTAGAGTTTATACGTTCGCGACCTCCATTGAAAAAGGTGGGTTATTGAAAGATTTATTATGATTTCTTTATTAAGTTTGTTTTCCTTAAAATTGTTTTCTTTTAGGCATCTGAACGTAAACTTCCCCCGCCGATTAAGCGAACGCCTTCGCCTAGAGAACAGCTAATGGATTCAATACGCCAAGGTCGTACGCTTAAACATATACCATCGCCAACGCTTCCCCGCCTAAAAGATCGACGTAAGTTCAATTTAGTTTCCTATAAGTTCTTTATATTTTTTTTTTCAAAAAGCTTACTCCCAAAGTTTAAAAGTCATCTTACTATAGAAAAGTTCTTCCTTTAAAAAAGACACATTTTTTATAGAAAGTTTTTGAATTCGTAATAAAGACAAAGTTCTTCAACCCTAATGCTACCAATTCAATGCTATCTTGCCGAAGAGAATCCTGTCAATAATTAAAAGTTTTAAGCTTTTTGTATTAAAAGTTTTAAGCTTTTCGTTTTAAGCATTTTTAATCTTTCCGATTGAATGGTTTTAAGTTTTCCGTATAAAAAGGTTTTAAGCTTTCCTTTCAAAAAAATTTCTTTGCTTAATTTAATCTTTTCGTATTGGAAGGTTTAATGCTTTTCTTTTAAAATTTTTTTCGTAAAACTTTTCCTGTAAAAAATCTATTAAACTTTTCCCTATAGAAAAGCTTTAAGTTTTTCCCCAAAGAAATGTTTTTTTAATAAAATTCTCATATACAAAAGTTTAATACATACTTTGTAAGTTTATTATATAGAGATGTTTTAAGCTTTTAGTATAGAAAAGTATTAAGCTTATTATGTAGAAAAGTTAAGCTTTAATATAGAATAGAGCTTTTGTATAAGAAACTTTTTTTTCGTTTAAAAAGCTTTAAGCTTATCGTATAGAAAGCTTTAAGTTTTTCATTTAAGAAATCTTCAGCTTTTCATTTAAGAAACCTTAAGCTTTTCGATTAAGAAACTTTAAGCTTTTCGTTTATGAAAGCTTTAAACTTTTCGTATAGACAGTTTTAAGTATTTCGTACTGAAAGCTTTAAGCTTTTCTTAAAAAAAGCTTTAATTTTTTTTATATATAAAGTTTAAAGCTTTTGATGTAAAAAACTTTAGGATTTTCGTATAGAAAAATTTTTGTATAGATAGCTTTAAGCTTCTCGTTTAATAAGCTTTAAGCTTTTTGTCTAGAAAGCTTTAAGCTTATCGTATGGAAGGCTTTAAGCTTTTCGTAAAGAAACATTAAGCTTTTCGTTTAAGAAAGCTTTAAACTTTTCGTATAGAAAGTTGTAAGTATTTTCTATAGAATGCTTAAAGCTTTCCTTAAGAAAAAGTTTTAAGCTTTTCGTATTTCTTATAGAAAATTTTAAACTTGTCGTATAAAAAGCTTTGATATTTTCGTATAGAATGTTTAAACTTTTCATATATGAAAAGCTTTAAGATTTCCGTGTAGAAAGCTTTTCGTATAAAAAGCTTTAAACTATTCGTCTAATAAGCTTTAAGCTTTTTGCTTAAGAAAGCTTTTATCTTTTCGTATAGAAAGTTTTAAGTATTTCCTGTAGAATGCTTTAAGGGTTTCGTAAAAAAAAGCTTTAAGCTTTTCGTATAGAAACTTTATGCTCTTCGTATAAAAAGTTTAAAGCTTTTCATATAAAAAAAACTTTAAGATTTCCATATTGAAAGCTTTAAGCATTTCCTTACTGAAAGCTTTAAGTTTTTCGTACTGAAAGCTTTTCATACAAAAATCTTCGTATAAGAAAGTTTAAAGCTTTTTTTCCAATAACTTTACCATTCTCTTTTTCCCTACCGCTTATTATTAAGCTTTCATTTTCCTTTATTCTTTGTTAAGATTAAATTAGAATTGTGTGGTTTTCTTTGGTCAGTGGCAAAGAAATCATTAACTACCACCTGCCACTGAACACTACAGTTACAGCTAAGTGTGTCACGAAATATGAAATGAGTTTTCTAAAGTAATTTTCTCCAAAGGAAATGCTAATGAAAGTCATTATAAACGAACATTAAAATGAAGAAAAGCCTTCAAACAAAAACATGATCATAACGTGTGTTTAAAACTAATTTTAAATTTATTTATAATTTATAAATAATTCCAAATTTCAAGTTATTACATTTAAAGAGTTCAAGTGCTTCTTGCTTTTGAAGACAAATTACTGCAAGATGAGCTTTTAAACTCTTTTAGCTAGACAATTACAACATTAAAGTTAATTTTTTTTTTTATTTCGATTTAAATTATTGTTTTGCCAATGTGCAAAAATTTCAAATATAATTCATAACGACCTTCCCAATTTCCCTTGAGGAGGGAAAAATTACTTCCATTTGTGTTTAATGCAGATGTATTTGGATGGTTTTGAAAATTTCACTCCCTCTATACAAACTACACAAAGGAATCAGTCAAGTCAATGTGCATAAAATTCAAGGTGTGAAAATTACTTGCATCTTGAAAAGAAAAAAAGAAACGAAAAATAGCGCTATAAGTCGCTTATCGGCAATTGACATCAGTTGCCTTCACATAGAAATAAACCTAAGATTGTAACGAAATTTCTATGCAGCAGCAAAATTGGATTGAAGTTGGAAACTAAATTTTTACATATAAATTTTTTAAGCTTTTTTTCTGTTATTTAAACAATGCACCTTGAAAAATTACGAAAACAAAGTTCAACTTTATTAAATGGCTTCCGCGAACTCAACTGAAAAAGTGAGAAACAATAACAACAACGAAAAAATGTTGCTTTTTTAAAATGATGTCATCTGCAAAATAATTGTTAAAAAAAGCAACAACATTTACACTTAAAATGTCAGTTACACTTGAAATGTAAATTTTTAAACACAAAAAAAACATTTTTGTTAATTATATAAAATCTTAGATGTTATCGGAAAGATAAGTCAGTAAAGTGTCAGCAGTAGGAAAGATTTTTTTTTTTTTGAATACTTTCAATATCATTATAAAACGCAATAATTACTTTGTAGGCATAAAAATGTGTGATAGAGAAGTGCTATTGGCCAGACTAAATACTAAAGTTTTCACTTGACTCTAGAAAAGACTTAATACTAGGGTAAAGACTTGTGCAAGTCTATAAATACTCTAGTACTAAACTAAGAACTAGACTAGATGAAAGACTAAACGATAGACTAGACTATAGACTAGACTTTAAACTAGACTAAACTAAACACTAGACTATAGACTAGAGTAGACTACACTATAGACTACACTAAAGACTAGACTATAGACTAGAATTTAGACTGGACTGTAAACTAGACTATAGACTAGACTTTAGACTGGACTGTAGACTAAACTATTGACTACACTAAAGTCTAGACTAGTGGCCTCCGGTAGGTTAGTGGTTAGTGTTCTAGTCTGGTAGACCGGTGGTGGTGGGTTCGATTCCCACCTGAGGCACTGGTTAAGGAGCGCACAACAGGCCCGAAAGAGGCCTAGGTGTATTTCTTCGGATTTGATGTATATACATGCTCCTTTCAAACTAACTAACTAAAGTCTAGACTAGACTATTGACTAGACTATAGACTAGACTATAGACTAGACTATAGACTAGACTATAGACTACACTTTAGACTAGACTATAGACTAGACTATAGACTAGACTATAGACTAGACTATAGACTAGACTATAGACTACACTTTAGACTAGACTTTAGACTAGACTTTAGAGTAGACTATAGACTAGACAATAGTCTATTTTATAGACTAGACTGACTATAGGCTAGAGACTAGACTATATTCTAGACTATAGACTAGACTATAGACTAGACTATAGACTAGATTATAGACTAGACTATAGACTAGACTATAGACTAGACTATAGACTAGACTTTAGACAAGACTTTAGACTAGACTTTAGACTAGACTATAGACTAGACTATAGTCTATATTATAGACTAGACTATAGGCTAGAGACTAGACTATATACTAGACTATAGACTTGACTATAAACTAGACTATAGACTAGACTATAGAGTAGACTATAAACTAGACTATTGACTAGACTATAGACTAGACTAAAGACTAGACTGTAGACTAGACTATAGACTAGACTATAGACTAGACTATAGACTAGACTATAGACTAGACTATAGACTAGACTATAGACTAGACTATAGACTAGACTATAGACTAGACTATAGACTAGACTATAGACTAGACTATAGACTAGACTATAGACTAGACTATAGACTAGACTATAGACTAGACTATAGACTAGACTATAGACTAGACTATAGACTAGACTATAGACTAGACTATAGACTAGACTATAGACTAGACTATAGACTAGACTATAGACTAGACTATAGACTAGACTATAGACTAGACTATAGACTAGACTATAGACTAGACTATAGACTAGACTATAGACTAGACTATAGACTAGACTATAGACTAGACTATAGACTAGACTATAGACTAGACTATAGACTAGACTATAGACTAGACTATAGACTAGACTATAGACTAGACTATAGACTAGACTATAGACTAGACTATAGACTAGACTATAGACTAGACTATAGACTAGACTATAGACTAGACTATAGACTAGACTATAGACTAGACTATAGACTAGACTATAGACTAGACTATAGACTAGACTATAGACTAGACTATAGACTAGACTATAGACTAGACTATAGACTAGACTATAGACTAGACTATAGACTAGACTATAGACTAGACTATAGACTAGACTATAGACTAGACTATAGACTAGACTATAGACTAGACTATAGACTAGACTATAGACTAGACTATAGACTAGACTATAGACTAAACTATAGACTAGACTATAGACTAGACTATAGACTAGACTATAGACTAGACTATAGACTAGACTATAGACTAGACTATAGACTAGACTATAGACTAGACTGTAGACTAGACTATAGACTGGACTATAGACTAGACTATAGACTAGACTATAGACTAGACTATAGACTAGACTATAGACTAGACTATAGACTAGACTATAGACTAGACTATAGACTAGACTATAGACTAGACTATAGACTAGACTATAGACTAGACTATAGACTAGACTATAGACTAGACTATAGACTAGACTATAGACTAGACTATAGACTAGGACTATAGACTAGACTATAGACTAGACTATAGACTAGACTATAGACTAGACTATAGACTAGACTATAGACTAGAACTATAGACTAGACTATAGACTAGACTATAGACTAGACTATA